TGAGCTATATCTCCAGCTCTTTCTCATCTCACACGCACCTGATCTTTTAAATTTTTTAGACTCATTCCCCTGGAGTTGGTAATTTGCCTGGGTTGAACTTGAACTTGAACTTGGAATCCTCCGGCCTTAGTCTCCCAGAAAGCTGGAATGACAGGTGTGCTTCCCAATGCCTGACTTGAGAGAGATGTTAGATCAAACTGTAAGGGCTGCTATAGTTAGACATTTTGAATATGTAGAATCTGAGTGTTTCTATTGTGATATAGAATTCCCAAAAGTCTTTTTTAGCCTTGTCTTGCTAATATTTTAAAACAGTGGCTGAGGGCTGGGGATGTACCTCACTGGGGGAGTGCTTACCTAGCATGTGTGACTCTGTGGGTGCAGTCCCCAGCACCACAACAGAAGTAAAGTGGGAGCGGAGTTTAGAAAGACACTGAGGTGCTGCAGAAGCTTTTGGCAGCCCTTCCACCCTACCCATTTCCCATGAGAACCGAAACCAGCTCTTCCTACATTTCTCTGCATTTTTTCTAAAAAGCTTTTTCTTCCCATAAAACAGATAGAACAAATATATTTAAATGAATAAATGTCATTTTAATAAGAATGCTTTCTGTAAATTAGTTCATTCTATTAAATGCCTAATAAGTAAAAAATATCACAGAGAATTATGCAATTAAAGCTCCAAGCAGCTTGCTTTTACAGAGTAAGCTCTAGAAATATGCAAATGGAATTTCACCAAGAAAACTATCCTTTAAGTGACAAAATTTTATTTTAGATAGAAAGTGTCTGTGTGGGAAAAGGAACAGATCTCTCCTACATAAAAATGGATGCACCAAAGGGTGTTTATAAAAACTCTCTCTGTTTGATTTTTGTGTTTGGCAGTATAACAGCAACTAATTTGATTTTATTCTAAAATTCTAGTGATTATAAGATCTTTACATCCCCTGTTCAGTAACTGTCTCTCTACTAAAGCTGGGCCCTAGTTTTCTCTCCAAACATACATGCAGGAGAATTTTTAGCTGAAGCTTTTTCACCATTTCTCACTGAGACAGAAGCAACAAAGCTGATTTTCTTTTCTTTTCCTTTCAGTCAAAATGAGGTCTCTTATGTTGCCCAGGCTGGACTCAAACTTCTAGAATCAAGGGATTCTCCCATCTTTGTCTCTGAGCAGTTAGAACTACAAGTGTGCACCACCATGATGCCTTGTTTTGGAAAGCCTCAACATACCGGTTGACGAAGTCAAAAAGAATGTATTAGTTAGAATATTTGAATGCAGCTAGTAAATATCCTATGCCCTTATAGACACATTTTCAATCTCTCCTCCTTTTTTAACATTTAATAGAATGTCCTCAGCATGTGAACTTTGTTCCTTAATCTTGTCTTTTCCCGGTTACAAAATGACTGCTTCTTCTCCAAGCATCACTTTTATACAAAGTTAAAAAGCTGAAGATATTATGTCTATTCTTTATACCTGATAAAGAAATAAAAATGAAGAACATATTCCTATTACTCTATCACAGGCTCATTCTTGCTTTCCTTGGCCAGAACTGCATAAGTTGCCCTTTCCTAGGCAATTGAGTCACCCATCCACACAATCTGAGCTATGTATTGTACTAATTGATGGTACTAGATGCAAAGTTCTGTTCTATTGCCAAGAACGAGAATCTCAGCAGCTCTTCCCCTTGAGCAATCTACTAAACAGATTAGGTATCAAATAACTAGCTATAAATGGTAGTTATCCAGGAAGAAAAATACATTCTAACCAGGGAATTTAAGGCTGTGCCTTCCAATGAAGATGGTAAACATGGCTGGCTTTTTTCTACTTAAGTACCTTAAGTTGCTTTCCAAATAACTAAAATACAATTTGGTTGCAGACCTGAGTGGAAACTTGAAATACGCATTTCCCCCAGCATTTACTTCTGGCAAAGTAAATTGAGCTTATTCTTGATTTTCCATAGCCCCAAATGATTATCCCCTGTCAAATAGACACCCATGGGCATTTCCAGCTCATTGTTTCTTCTTATAAAACAAGTCACTGTATCTGTGTAGATGATGTAGATACATACAAATCATGCGTAACACCTTAACAGAATGTCCACTTACTGAAACTTAAGGGTTAGATGTTACCTTTGAGGGACACAGATTTTATTTTCAATAATGCTTTTTTATAACAAAGTAAGAAAATCAAACATTTATTATTTGGATCAAGAGACCATTTTGTTGGTTTGATATATGCAATCAAACTGAATTGAAATCTCTTTTAAATAAAAACAAACATATTAATTGGTCAATGTAGTGCTTGTGGTTTCAGATTTTGTATATATTTGGATAAGTAAAGTGTAAAAAGCTTTTCATTACTATTGCTGGCATTTTATTTCATTCCAAGAGAGGAAAAAAAAAAAGGGAGTTAGAAATGTTTGAAATTGGCTGTAAAATATTACATATAATAAAAATTTGTTTTTATATTTATATGAGCCTGACTTTTCTCCCATTGATCAAGTTTAATCTCATGGTACATCAGTATCTATAAGTACTGGAATCAGGAAGACTTACACTTAGCTAATGAAACTTATTTATTGGTTTCATTTGTTAATCTTTTCTGAATTATAAGTAGGATCTTTTAATTTAACATTTGGAAACATTTGTATTAATAGCAATTTTAAAAATCTTCCTCCTTCTTAAAATTTGACATTTATAAAGTTAATGCATATCTTTTTCTCTCTTATTACAAGTTATTTCCTTAATTTTATGGATCTGGGATAGCTGCCAGTGACTTACTGCCTTAAAAATGATGATGTGGAGAAAGAAATAATTATGTTTTATATTTAGTTAGATTTATTAGTGCTGACTTGGGTTTCATGGTCTGGCAAATGAGTTCGCACTAGAGTCTCCTGAAGGTTCTCAGGTCTCTGGTTAAAGTTTAAATTTAACCACTAGAAGGTTACCATATTTTATGAACTTTAACCTTTAGATACACACACACACACACACACACACACACACACACACAATGTGCCATTAGGATTTGGATTTTGAATGTAGCTCACATTCAAATACTGTTGGAAATACTAATCCTTGATACACTTTGCATCCTTCTATTAATAAATGAGTGAAATTACAGAAAACAATAAATTTTTATTCTTTCCTCTTCTGACTTGAAATCATGGCCTTTAAAAAGTATCCTGCCTTTTTAGTATCTGTCTAATCTATGTTTGGCTCAATGGTGTTAAAAATTCAATTTTCTGGGTACTGGGAAATCAGACATATTTGTTCATTGAAATTTATTCTGTAAAATAATTTGCTGGCACTACATCTTTTATAACTTGTGAATGCTGAAGCTATTTAGTACATACATTGCTCAGCACTCTTGGTTACAAGCAACATAAATAAATTTATAGTGTTTTATTTACTGGTTTGCAAAGTGACACAGTGTAGAGAAATTACTGTTTCAGGTACAGGTATATCCAAGAGCTGAATCGAGTTCACTAAGAATTTTTCTCTTTCTCTGTTTTTCTCTGAGTTTAAGTTTTTCCTAAGAAATTCTTCTTTCCTTTTTGTAGCCATGAGCATCAACCACCTTATATCTGGGCAATTCCAAGTCCAACGAAAACAAGGTTTTTTGTTTTTATTTTTTTACCCTGTATATTCTCAGTAAAAGTCACAAAATTAGATTCTGTGACGAGGACCTCACTGATCTCATCCTTGACCTAATAATCTCTCTGTCTTGGTGTGTGTGGTGGGGGGTTGGAATATATCCATGGCTGAGAAGAATGTTCTGTGTATAATCCCCACAGTATCACTGGAGATCTTCTTGCAATACACATACTCAGGATCCATTCTTGTCCTAGTGAATTAGAAAACCTTGACACGCAGTTCAGCAAACTGTTGCAACCAGTCCTACAGGAGATTCTAGTGTGTGCTCAAGTCTAAGACCCACTGCAAGAACTAATCAGCTAGGCCCAGGTCGTGTGTGCCCCAAGATCTGCAGTGCAGTGTTACCCTGCAGAAACTCCAAAGAGATGAAACTGGCGGGATGAACAGACCAAAGGGGAAGAGCAGATGGCACACTGGCACAAAGGAGAGAGGCCGCGATAATGCCAGTTCAGTTCAGAAAGAAGGTTTTTCCTTGTGTCCAGTGCCATTATTTCTCAAGATGCTACTAATTATGAGTTCTCCAGAAAACAATATTCTCATTATGCAAATACACTTTCATCCCCCTTTAGGATAATAGGGACTTAGGTTAAGTTTTCTATTGGAATAGGTGGATGGCCAATCTGGGAAGATTTCCAGACCATTTTATTTTCTTACGAAATGCTTCCTGAACTCTAAGAGATAGTCTAGTGCAGTTATAGCATTCAATAACAAGTCTTATTTCTCCTCTGTGGTAATAAAAGAGAATCACTCTGCTTCAAAACTTCTCAATATAAATAGCAATAAAACCTATAGAATTTTGGGGAAAAGAAGTCAACAAACACTGTAATAGTATCTAAAATAATTTTAAAATAATTTCTATGAAATCACCTAATAAGGGTTATAGATAATTTTCATATAACTTGTGATGTTTTTATTGTTTTTTCCCACTTGATTTGGGATATTTGCACTTCACAGGGGGAGGCAATAGAGTGTGTGCCAGTGTATTTCAGTTCCTCTACTGTCAAGAATCCTCCTGCCATTGTTTAGTATCCAGTTCCCAGGGTCTCTTTTGAGATATTCTTATTTGGGAGGCCAGGGATGGGAGCAGACGAATTTGTATATCTAATTGTTGTCTCAGAGAATTCTTATGATGAGATGTGTTTGGAACAGACTCTGAATGGTGAAGAGTGAGGATGCTGGAGCCCATTGGTATAGGACCATGCCGTAGCAATAGCTCTTGTTAGCTGGGGTAGCTATTTCAACCTCATCAAGCCTTCAATGTTAGCTGCCATTATTACTCTTTGCTTTTGTACTTCTTTTTGTTTTCTTTCCAATAATCTGCCTGTTTTGTCCTCTTGATTCTTTTGCTGCAGATAGAGGACATGCAGTGGGGAAAAGGAGTCCGAGAGATCCCACCCTCTGTGTGTACGCTGCCATGCAAGCCTGGGCAAAGGAAGAAGACACAGAAGGGAACGCCTTGCTGCTGGACCTGTGAGCCTTGTGATGGGTACCAGTACCAATTTGATGAGATGACATGCCAGCATTGCCCCTACGACCAGCGGCCCAATGAAAATCGAACTGGCTGCCAGAATATCCCCATCATCAAACTGGAGTGGCACTCCCCCTGGGCCGTCATCCCTGTCTTCCTGGCAATGTTGGGGATCATCGCCACTATCTTTGTCATGGCCACTTTCATCCGCTACAATGACACGCCCATTGTCCGGGCCTCTGGGCGGGAACTCAGCTACGTTCTACTGACAGGCATCTTTCTCTGCTACATTATCACTTTCCTGATGATAGCCAAGCCTGATGTGGCCGTGTGTTCCTTCCGGCGTGTATTCTTAGGCTTGGGTATGTGCATCAGCTATGCAGCCCTTTTGACAAAGACCAATCGGATTTATCGCATATTTGAGCAGGGCAAGAAATCAGTGACAGCTCCCAGACTCATAAGCCCAACGTCACAGCTGGCAATCACTTCCAGTTTAATATCAGTTCAGCTGCTAGGGGTTTTCATTTGGTTTGGGGTTGACCCACCCAACATCATCGTAGACTATGACGAGCATAAGACCATGAACCCTGAGCAAGCCAGGGGAGTTCTCAAATGTGACATTACAGATCTCCAAATCATTTGCTCCTTGGGATATAGCATTCTCCTCATGGTCACATGTACTGTGTATGCCATCAAGACTCGGGGTGTACCAGAGAATTTTAACGAAGCCAAGCCCATTGGATTCACTATGTATACGACGTGTATAGTGTGGCTTGCTTTCATTCCAATTTTTTTTGGCACTGCGCAGTCAGCGGAAAAGGTAAGTGAAAATGCACATCACATTGCAGTCTTTCAAAAATGTGTTTGTTTGGAGGCAGTCCTGAAACCCAATTGGTTGCATAAAGTAAGAGATTTTATATGTGCAGAATGTTATTGCAAAGGGTAGATAAACCCTGAATGAATAAATAGAAATGCTATAGGAATCTAAGCTTTACAGTGAATTATATTATATCTGGCCCACTGAAAACCAACCAAAGTTAGCCTTTACCAGTTAGTTATATTTACTTTAGCATAACTCAATGTGAGATCGTCCAGTAGAAAATGTCTAATTCACTTAAATCTATCTTTCTATTCATCCATTCGCCAACACCTCTGATTACACACATTTTTTTGAAACAGAAGATGACCACAGTACATATTTTCCAGGTAAGTGTGTGTGATGGTCATTAACGACATTATTATAGATGCTGTTTTTCTTCTTAGTGGCTATATAGGCCATTACTAAAGATTATATCTAGTATGTGAGCCACATAGCATATTAGAGTTGCCTAATTTTGTGTGCACAAAGTATGCAAGATAGGTGAATAAAGCTTTGGTTATCGTACGATGCTAGGCTCCCTACAGCTAGATACACATGAATCACAACCAGGGATACACACTGGGATTAGAGAGGGAGCGTCATCAGGATTTGAAATTGCCAAAGTTCATAGGTCCCAGTATGTTGGTCCATGATTTAGTTAATGCACATGCCCTGCACAGTTTTATAAATTTGTTAGTCTATAAATCAGGAAGCCCTAATGTGTTGACTGCTAATGCAACTGATGTATGTTTAGCTGTAGGTGTGACATGCACAGTAGTGAGGCAACCTTGTAGTATTGATTTTAGACATGATTAACACTCATCTGACTTATGTGTTCACCCGTGCAGCTATAGTTCTATGTATAAGCAAATGGGACAAGCCTAACACATAGATACTAATAAGATGTGGGGTCCTTACTGGATATAAACACCTCAGTTTGGTGCAACTGGTGGAAGAATTAAGGACTGCAATCGTGCTGGACAAATTGTGTAGGAGAGAGTCTTGTTACAGTTAGATTACATGTTAGGAAGTGGAGGAATTTGGGAAGATCTCTTAAATGCATAGAGACTTAAGGTCTCAAATGGGAAAAATAAGGATTGAAGTTGAAATGTCTAAAAATGTATGAAATTCTGTACTTCTAGGAATTAATTGAATCTGGTTTTTATTGTTACCTGTTATTGCATAAAGGATTAAAGATAGTTGGTTTTCCAACTAAATTTGTTGGATTTTTTGCCAAAATTGTTTGATTTAGAAGCTATGTTTGGACTGTGTTTTTAAGTGAATATCATGAAATCACGAAGAATTCTAAAAGCAAGTAAAGCTAATGACTACAAATTATGGTTTTAGTCATAAAATGTCTTAGAGGAAGTTCATCTAACCTGTATATTCAACAAGCATAGTATGTCTCTAACAATATGTTTCAAATTAATAATCCATGCTTACTGTCTGTGAAACCAATTAGAATTTCATTTAATTTCTTCTATCTATCCCTTGGCCAAAGGAATAGTAAAATATGAGTTAGGGTCATGAAATGCAATAGAGAAAAGGAAAAATACCTGCAAACATACGCTTGTAGGTTGATGACCACTGAATTTTTGGAAGGTGTGGGAGGCATCATCAGAATCTATCAAGTTAATTATTTTGTTATTGAAACAAACATCACCCAATGCACAAGTTAAATTAATTGCATCCTGTACATTTATTCTTGAGAAATACTAAAGGGAAAAATAATTGCAGTGGTTTTACAGGTAAGTATTCTTCTAATGAACACTTGACAATATGTGTCTCATTTCACTTTTCATTTCTCACCATTTCTAGTTAAAATGATGAGTTTCATCCATAAGGTCACATATAGAATTCATATAGAAAACATATAGAAAACCAGAAAATGACACAGGGTTTCAGGAATTACATTCATTGATTGCAGTTGCTGTGGATACAGTGCACTGTCAGAATTGGACAGTGGAAAAACAAGCTATCTTTAAGCAACGTTTTATATACCAGATTTTTAAAAATGTATGTTTCTTTGCATACTTTGGATGTGTTGTATTGTTTTACGAGGTTGACTGGCACAAGTAAAGCTGCTGAACTGCCATATGGGAACAGTGAATTCTTATATGAAAATGTACACACTAATGACAGGCATATGGATAAAGACGAGTACTCAGTTAAAAATATCACTTTGTGTACATGAAACCATGACATTTCAATTGTGGAAAGAGGTGTTGCCAAGAGAAATAAAGAAATAATGGCTAAATAAATACTTGCCAAGCCAGCAGCAATCTATAGTATCACAGACTTTCTATTTTTTAAAAATCTAACAGTTTAAGCTTTTCAAACTGATAGATTCCATTGTGGTGTTGTTGTTGTGTGGTACCGGGGATCAAACTCGGGTCCTTGGGCTTGCAAGGTAGGCCACCTAACTGCTGAGCTAAATCCCCGGCCCTGATTCCATTGTTTAAAAAAAAAAAAGATTGAGCAATGAGTTTGCCAGTAACTCCTCACTGTTTAGGAAAATCAATTTTGATCACATAAGTACATCTTTATGAAATTCCTCATTGGTTGAGTCCATTAGCATAGCACAAAGGATAAGCAATGTTTTTTTTTTTTTTCATTTTCTTCAAAGCATAAGCCCCATGAAGTTTATTTTAGCTTTTGTGATGGAGAATGCAAGAGATTACTGCCACCTTTTTTTTTTTATTTTTAATTGCTAACCTGTGACCTCTAAAGTGAGGTTCTTGCAACGGGACCAAGGATGACAGTGAGAAAATTTACCCTTAAGAGAATGATTCGAGGCTTCAGGAATTAATGTAGGTGATTATCATGATACTATAAAATAATGCAACTGGTAAAACTATATCACTTTAGGATCAAGCTGACCTAGTACAGTGTAGTGACATACTATTATTAGGTATTAACTATCTATGAAGGGCTAGATTTTTTTTTCTAGCCTTTAAGAAAAGTTCTGTGGATATAACTCTACAGGTATTTGTGCATTAAAGAAAAGAAACGTACTTCAGGGATGGACAACACAGGCTACTCTGCCGAAATGTGAGTAACCGTAGATATCCCCTTCATCCAGAGATTTTTAGCCAGTCATTGTATGAGGAAGTTTCCAGATAAGGCAGTGCTATCACACACTGCATAAGATTTCAGTCAATAATGAACTGGTGCGTAAATGACAGTTGTCTACTAAGATTATGCTATGTAATGACATTGTAGAAATCTTAGTTTATGTAAACACTGTGATGTTTGGACAATGATGAAGCTCCTTAATGCTGTATAGTCTAGACTGCATCCCTCTCTTTAAGTGGTGGTATGATTGTATATAATTCCTTACATTTGTGCAGGGAGACAAGTTTTGCATTAATGGGCTCTGCATAGGAGAAGAAGATCTTAGAATGAAAGGAGTGGGATCTGAGGTTTTCATTAGTGTTCCTTTATGCATTGTGTAGTGGTTTTATTTTTATTTACTTATTTATTTTATTTATTTATTTAATTTTTTTTGGTACTGGGGATTGAACTCAGGTCCTTGTGCTTGCAAGGCAGGCAGCGGAACCACTAAGCTAAATCCGACCCTGAGTAGTATTTTGATAAGAACAGAGTAAGGAAAGTAAAGAGAAAAGGGATGAAGCAATTGAGAGAAAAATATCTGTAAAAGAGTACTGGCTTCAATGAAGGACTATCTTCCTTCAGTGAAGGAATTCAAACATGGTCCACTCACACCGTTCTTCTGCACAAATTACAGAACCAGTGTGCATTATAAAATTTAAATAGTAGGATTCTTTGATTTTAATTGGAGTAGTAACCCAGTAAATGACAGAATTAGGACAAGTTGATGCTAAATCTCCGAACCAACTTGGAGTCCTGTGCGCATGATAAAGTCCTGTGGAACTGCCAAGTGATTGAATAGTGCTAGAATGGAACATAGAACTTTACATCTTTAAACAAGCATGCTGGAAAAATGCTACTGGAAGCTACACATACTTTAAAAAGTTGTTTAAGTACTCTGTTCTTGGCCACAGAAAATGGGATATTCTATAAATATTCCCTTGTTTTCTACTTTTAGAGCATTTGGGAATAAATTAATTCCTATCCCCAACAAGGAGGAGATGTGATTACAAAACAAAGATTTTTAGAAAGACACCATACAAGATCGAGGACAAAGTCAAGGATGTGAATATCCTGATGAAATATTAACCACAAGGTTTGGGCCCAAAACTATAAAAAGCTAGGACCAAGATAGCAGAAAGGACAGGCAGGTAGGGGTGTTTCTTATGAGTATTTCTTGAGAAAATGAGAATAGAGGTTATGATTTTGTCTTCCACATATATGAGATGGCATCCCCAAATATGAACACAAAGTAAAGCCTACCCAAAACGAATTAATATGTCCATGCCCAAGGCAGTCTTCACTAATTAGGGAACACTTCTTCAGAACATTTCTTGGTGGGGTCTCCAAATCCTTCTTACTATAGTCTTTGGGCATTCAGAACTGGACGGAATTTGAGAACAACATGCCATTCCTGATTCACTTTGGGCTCTAAAAAATAACCCTTGATGTTTCTTCACATTCAGTTCTGTGCTGTTAGTATAATAAAACCAGATAATGGTTTTCATTAAGATTAATCTACTTAAACACCAAGAATAGTTAGGGAAAAGGGGGTATATTCAGTGTTTATTTTGTCTTTGATTATATCCCTCTTTTTAAAAAATCAAGTGTTATATAGAAATGATCAATTCTCCTGAGGAGTAATGTATTAGTTTATGTTCCTGTCCTATTCTCATGGTCTTTTAGAGATTGAAAATGGCAAAATATCTGCTACACTTCTCAGGGCCTGTAGTTCAGGTATGAAAAAGACACTGTCCTAGTATGTTAGGAAATCAAATGCTAGTGATCAACATAGGGCTTCTAATAAGCATCAAATACTGTGAAACATACCACAGTGGTACCACACAGAA